CATTTTGTTCGGCCTCAGCTATTCGGGATGACTCACACCAAATGGTAGCCATGAATGACGCGACGCTGGACCCCATTTCAGAGACCTTCATAGGTGCACTGGTCGCGGGATTCGCTGCGCGTCACGCCTGATAATAACGGCCGGATGCCCATCTCGATTATGAAGTCACAGTGTCCAGACGAGTCAATCTTACAGCAAAAACGAGTCGATACAGTTAAAACGCCTTAATGCACTACGATTAATTTCTCGAAGGGTAAATCGTGATGCGCAGTGGTCAAGTATTTCTTTGAGTAACCCGGATTAACGATTAACGGTGCATGTTTCGCTGCAACTCGCTTCTTTTTGTCAAGCGCTGGCCACATCTGCAGCGATTCGATCGCAAAAGGAAAGAAGCAGCGGATGCTTTCGGTGATTTATCATGAACGAGAGAGGGGGCAAAGCACCTTAACAGTTTTCTGTACTTGCCTCCCCCTGCTCTTCATTCCGCAAGATGCCAGCTACCGAGCACGTCGTCAACGCGAGCAAACTCCCGTCCAACTTCGGACTCACACCCATGTCTCCGGACGACTCGACTACTCGAAACGAATTCGAGGCAATTGTAGTGGATGAGCTGTCTGCGTTACTAGACTGCGTCCAAGGGAACCCCAGCAGCTCGGACGAGCTCTGCTCCTCTCCACTGCCAATCACCCGGCACAGATCCATCACCACCGGTAAGAGGAAGCGGTCATTCGGTAGCGACGACGACGAATCCAAAGAGCCACACACCCGCATGCGGACGTACACTGCTCGAAAGGTGAGCGATATACACGTTAACGCGTCTTACCCTGTTGTTAACTTTCTGAACTTCGGACGGTTGCAAACTTCAGAAAGAGATCGAAGCGCTAATGGCCGAGCTGCCAGCACTCGAATCCTACGTCGATTACCTCAAGCACCAAGCAGCCAAGATCTCCAATCAAACCAATTCGACACAGAAGCAGCAGCTCGTTAACTCGTGTCTTCGGGACAAGGCACACCGCCAGCAATTCGCGCTGGCTCGGGTCCACTCGGCTCTGTCGGACTTCACTAGTCGCCAGGAGAAGTTGATCCCATTCGATTACTTCATTCACCTAAGAAAAGACCGAAGAAATCGACTACAAACGCTGCTCAACATGAAGCCGCGGATGCTGCGCAATGCCCGTCGCTTCATGCACGAACGCACCGCGTTCATGGATCTGAGTGTTCCAAGCTCGGAGCAGAGTTGCTATGTGTCTCCATCCGGGGACTACTGCACTGTAAAGTTCGTGGTGCTGCCCTTAGAGGGAGATTTTAGTGCTAGACAAGTGTTCGATACGCTCAAATTCTACCTGTTCCACATGGAAATCATGATCTCCGAGGCTACTGGTGACCTCACACTATGTGAAGAGGAAGAGGCTGACAACACAGCTGTATCACAACACCGCTTCCTTCGATCAACGCCCAGCGGATACCAAGTGGAGTCGAATGACGTAATCTTCAGTCACTTCGATGAGCACAACGAGGAGTTTGGGGACGGAAGGGAGTACGGAATCATCGTAATCGACTGCGTGGATAAGGACGAGCTGCATCCGTACTCTCCGGACGAGAAACTACGTCAGGACCTCACGTCCATTCTCACGGTACAGACGTACAAGGACAAGGTGTCTTGCTCTCAAAATCCAAAGAAGCTGCAGATCAAGACCCAAGTGGTAATGACTCGAAGTAATTTCTTCAAACTACACCACACAACGCTACCCTTGTCGAAGATTGAAATGCAAGAAACCATCGACCGTCTCGCATGTCGAGGCAATCTACTCTTCAACGCGGTTCGAGCCTCAGTGTCGTCTGGCAGGGAACCAGTTCTTTGATTAAATCCATATAAATGACACTTTTA